CAAAAGAAAAGAATAATAAAATTTCGGGTGCCATTTTTCGAGTTTTACAGGCTAAATAACACCGAAATTGGCACACTGGCTTCTCTCTCTATCGCTGTCTCTCTCACACTCTCCCTCACCGTCGCTTAGCAAAAGAAAAGAATAATAAAATTTCGGGTGCCATTTTTCGAGTTTTACAAGCTAAATAACACCGAAATTGGCACACTGGCTTCTCTCTCTCTCTCTATCGCTGTCTCTCTCACACTCTCCCCTCACCGTCGCTTAGCAAAAGAAAAGAATAATAAAATTTCGGGTGCCATTTTTCGAGTTTTACAAGCTAAATAACACCGAAATTGGCACACTGGCTTCTCTCTCTCTATCGCTGTCTCTCTCACACTCTCCCTCACCGTCGCTTAGCAAAAGAAAAGAATAATAAAATTTCGGGTGCCATTTTTCGAGTTTTACAAGCTAAATAACACCGAAATTAGCACACTGGCTGCTCTCTCTCTCTATCGCTTTCTCTCTCACACTCTCCCTCACCGTGGCTTAGCAAAAGAAAAGAGTAATAAAATTTCGGGTGCCATTTTTCGAGTTTTACAAGCTAAATAACACCGAAATTGGCACACTGGCTTCTCTCTCTCTATCGCTGTCTCTCTCACACTCTCCCTCACCGTCGCTTAGCAAAAGAAAAGAATAATAAAATTTCGGGTGCCATTTTTCGAGTTTTACAAGCTAAATAACACCGAAATTGGCACACTGGCTTTCTCTCTCTCTCTCTCTATCGCTTTCTCTCTCACACTCTCCCTCACCGTCGCTTAGCAAAAGAAAAGAATAATAAAATTTCGGGTGCCATTTTTCGAGTTTTACAAGCTAAATAACACCGAAATTGGCACACTGGCTTCTCTCTCTCTATCGCTTTCTCTCTCACACTCTCCCTCACCGTCGCTTAGCAAAAGAAAAGAATAATAAAATGTCGGGTGCCATTTTTCGAGTTTTACAAGCTAAATAACACCGAAATTGTCGAAAAGGAATAGCAATCCCGCACTATTAGGAATAAATCCCAATAATGCCCACGCGAGGGATTTGCCACCTATTCCTCTTACGACCCTTCACACTTCCCTATACACGGGTAGTCGGGTCAGTGGAGGTCTGTAAGACTAATATATGCCAAGAAGATGACCCTGCAGACCATGAATAAGATCCAATGCGATTACCACTAATAGAGACGAATAGATAAGAATGGTTTATTAGTATAAGAACAGAAAACACCGTGAGGATATACACAAGGCCAGAGAACCTGGAGGTAATACAAGTGGGGGCGGAAAGAGCTCTGGTTGTAAAACAGATGGTGGATCTACGGGGGATGGGAATCACCTTCCGGGTAACAGGTCGCTATGGGCAGATGAACCGCCACACAGCTCCTATTCAATCCCCGACCGGCCATAGATATGACCGGCGGCAACGACTCCCTTTGGAAAGGGAAGAAGTGGCCCGAAATGCGGGGAGAGCCTAGGCCGAGCGATTTACCTACCGTAGTAGGGTCGCTGCGGGACCCCCGGGGGAAAGGCCGCCCGCCCCCACAGACCAAATAAACCTCGTAAGTCATGTACTTTGTACATAACTTTCGACACTCCCGGCCCAGAAGAAGCCGAGAGGTCGCGCCTTGTGGAGTCCCTTCAGCCGCGAGGCTTTAGGGCTACTAGGGTCTGAACCAGGGAAGGACTGGGTTGTGCTTACATTGATCGCACCAGGGTGGTGGTCACAACTTGGGCGATAGGGGTACCTGGTCCAGTCTAGTGTTGGGTGGAAGGCGTGAGGATACTTGGAATGCAGGAGAGAGTGGTGGGACCTGGGCCCCGACGAAAAAGGTGGTGAGACCTATACCCGAGATGTAGATAGGTGGAGGTTAGAGCTCTACCGCACAAAGTTAAGTGGATGGGTAGGGCTGGGCTGGGTATAAGACATCACGGCACTTTCTGGGGCGGGAGGGGCCGAAAAGTAAAGTTAGGTCCTAGGGGTGGGGCTCAGAGGGACAAAATGAGGGTGGGGAAGCTAACCGACGCTAAGGAGCCCGAACTCCTGTCGGAAAGCTGGGGACAACACGTACTTGGTTACCGCTTGCAGGATGAAGATATGGGCACGGCGTGGCTCTTGATCGACTTGTCGTCCTTGACTTGAAGTGCGTGATGTCGAGCTTGACCGGCTTGAGGTAGTGCTTGACCAAGAGTGGCGGCTTGATGACGAGCTTGACCAACTTGTGCAGAGCTTGAGTACTTGAGTGCAGCAGCAACCAACGGCGGTCAAGAGGCCGTTTCTGTATGTAAACGAAAAATTGAGAAACTGGGTGTGGACGGGGGAAGACCATTGCAGTAGCTGTGTGTAAACGTTGGCGGGGCGGGGAGGGCGAGAGAAAACTCCCACCACTCACTCGCTCCTGCTCCAGGCGTCTGTGGATTTGACATCTGACTCACGTGGTCAGGAATGCCAAATTTCGCCGCTCTATGAGCCGCTTGATGAACTGGGGCCTGGTGGTTGGCCAACGCAAACGCAAAGCTGTGGGTAAGACTAGAAACAAAAAGCTCTGTGTCCAATTTCGAACGCTATAAAAACGTTGCAGGCGGGAATAGCCTAGGATTCCAGAGCTATTTCTGGTCCTTTGGACTATATTAAGGCCTGGTGTGCTGTAGGTTCGGTGTTGGATGGCAGAACTGTGGGTGTATCAAGCCTCGCCGCTGCAGGTCCGCTGCAGGTCCGTACAGAGGTTTTCAATGCTAATCTACTATATACAAATTTCTAATGTCCGTCTGCCCGCCGTCCGTACACGAATTCAGCCAAATTCTGCATTCAAATTCAAAATTCAAATCATGGGGGAGCGCTAACAGCTTCTAAATCAACTATAATAATTTCGCTATGGTGTCCGTCCGTCCGTCCGTCCGTCCGTCATGTCCCGGATTCAACTCGAAGGGGAAAGGAGCTAGAGCTTAGCTCTCTTCGGATTCGGATAGAGCGTGGTCAGAAACCCCCAAACCGATAAAAAAATTACGAAAAAGTTTTAGTTTAAATTATTAAAATTAACTTTGAAAGTTTTTTCCTTAGTAAAAGGGGTGGGGGGCTCTCTCCGGGCAGGCCACGCCCCCTTTCCCCCAGCCGCTCTTGACCAGGCCCTTCCCGCGCCCAAATAGCTTTTTAAGTTACTTTAATACTTTTTAATACTTTTTAATTATGTTTATTGGTTATTTAAATCATTTAAAGTATCTAAAGCGATCAGGAAGGTATTTAGGTAGTTTTTGAAGGGGATTTCAGCTAGGGGAGGTATCTAAAGCCATCGGGAAGGTATTTAGGTAGTTTTTGAAGCGATTTCGGCTAGGGGAGGTATCTCAAGCCTTCGGGAAGGTATTTAGGTAGTTTTTGAAGGGGGTTTCGGTTAGGGGGAGGTATCGGTAGCCTTTAGCGGGGTATTTTGGGAGAGGTAGGGAGGGATGTGATGGCGTATGACATGAAGGGTAGCCCGAAGGCCAGATGGTTGCAGTCATGAAGCGACTGGAACCATCTGGTTCTTGAGACAAATTAATTAGGATTTCTGGATGCAAAGCAACAGTTTCCGGGGCTTCTCGAGTTGATTTTAGAACCGTTGATTTAAGGCCACCCTCTTTCTGAAATAATAGAACCCGACCTTGGATATAAACCGTAAAATGTCCCCGCCTCCGAGAAATGAAACAAAACTCGTTTTCTTCACCGAACCGGCCTTCCGCATCAAAGTAAACCCATACCTGGTCGTTATGTACTCCAAGCCAATTGTGTTTGGGGTTCTTTAGGATTCGCAGGGGTGGGGGGGAGTATTCACGGGGGGAACAACTTTTTCTCGCCGCAAGCCTAATCCTACCTTATATAATTTTGGGGTGTATCTCTGTGTGTGTGTGTGTGTGTGGATGTCACTTTCGTGGCCCGATTTAAGGGCCTTCCCCTGGATAAAATGCGCTAATTCTTTGTCACCCGGGGAATCGACCCTCCTCTTTCCGATGGCGTTTTCAGAATTTCGATAAAATACACGTTTATAAAGTTAAAGCCGGTTTTATTCATTTTTGGGGGAAATTTGCATAATAGGTAAAAACACAAATCTCCTCATTCTTGCAATTTGCACGCGCGTGTGTGGTCGGTGGAGGGAAGGGGTCCGAAGGACCCGAGCCATCAGAAAGTCAAATTTTTTCATGCAAAAGCCCAATTCCAGCGCCCAAGGCCCGCGAAGCGGGTTTTGGGCGCTGGTTTTTTTATAAATAGCGGATGCGTTTCTAAATTGTTTATAGCTATTTCTAGGCATAAAAACTACACGAATTTGAATTAAAAATGGATTTATGACCGAATTTACAACTTTTTCCAACACTTTTGCAACTTTGTTGCAAAGTTTCTCTACTTTAACGATAGTTAAAACTTAATAACACAATGTAAAAGCACTTTATGTTTGATTAATACACCGACCGGGACCGCTAGGAAAAAAGCGGGTGATCCGCGGATCTTAAAGGACCGTTTTTGGTTACTAAATTTACAGTGTACGAATCTCGGTGATTGGCGTTTTTTCGACCCATTTTTGACGCCATCGGAAAGATCCGGATCGAATTACTAGGCTGGCATCATTCTGACAGCGCTTTTGCGCCGGCGCGTGTTCTTCGGCTCGCCCCGGCTCCGGATCGTTCCGGATTGCTACTTCAGCCTGATAGTCATCCGACCCATTATCTGTCGCAAAATCCGATAGCTATTTCCCTGTTTGCTAGAAACCATTTGTGTCGCAAAAATCCCATAGTTATTTTCCTGTTTGCTAGAAACCATTTGTGCCAAGTCGGGTTTTTTCGAATGTGAACGACCCTCCGTCATTTTCTGCACGATTTATCCCAAAAGAAATCAATGACATCCGTCATGAAAGAAAAGATACATGTCAATACAAAATGGGCGGTACAGGTTCGTGAACATTTGTGTGATCAGTTAGTCTGGTCGGGGTGCGTGGTCGAGTCCCTTCCGTTCTCTCATTTCTTTTTATTCTTCTTCACGTTCGGCTTTGCCATTTTCGTTTGCTCCTGCAATATGGCATGTGTACGTGCTCAAAAGGTCGGGTGTATCTACATAGCGTCTGACTCACCTTAGTGGCTGTATAATCCTTGGCTTTCCAACCCTCAGCCAGCCTCTTGTCGAATGCATCTTGCGCTGAAAAAGCACGCATATTTTCGATGCTCGCTCACCCTAATTGTTAAAATTAACTGAAACTTTTAGTCTTTTATAGCAGTCAAACCCGATAGAATTAGTGAAGGGTACTCATAGGACAGCGGGGGCAATTATCATTTAGAAATTTGCAATTACTGCGGGATTTTGCAAGCGCCATTCGATAGAGCGTCAAAAAATCTACTCACATAATTGATTCCAGCCCAAAATAATGTAATAGAAATTTTTATTGAATAAACCAAAATTGAGCAAAATCTACGGGCAGAACATAGGATAACGGGGGCGGAGGGGGGGAAGCCAAATTTTGGTATTTTTGAAAATCTATTGGATAGAGCGTTGAAAACTGCCCTAGGAGAATTAAATTCAGCTCGAAATAATGTAAATGCAATTTTTATCGAATAAACAAAAATCGACCAAAATCCATGGGCAGCACATAGGATAACGGGGCGGAAGCCAAATTTTTGAGTGTTTTGATATTTTCAAGACGCCAATCGATAGAACGGCAAAAAATATACGAAGAGATGTTTTACAACACGCAAAAATGTATTATAAAAGTTTTATAGCCTAAAAACTATTTTGAAAACTATGGGCAGCACATAGGATAACGGGGGACATATTCGGCGTTTTGAAGATTTTAGATATTTTGACAATGTTATTCGATAGAGGGCCAAAGAATATACCAAGAGCTTTTTATTACCCGAAAAAAGTATATTTAAAAATACCTTTATCATAAAAAAAACTTTGAGTGCCCGCTCCGTTGTTTTATTCCCCCCCCCGGGTATCCTATGTGTACCTTAGTGAAGAATCATAAATTTTACCCCCAACCAGAGTTGAAAAGCCGCTTCGCAACTTTTCAACCCTAGCCCCTCTAACCCCATAAGATTTTTATCCTGCATACGTTTCTGGAATTCAGATGAGAAAAGGCTTAGGTGCAGTCGACCCCCTACCGTATCTCGGTTCCCTCGGCTCCCTGTTCATTTGTAGGTGCGTAAAGTATAGCAAGATACTGGCCAAAGCAAAACGAACATTTTGGTATACATTATAATACCTGTAGATGAACAGATTTACGAGATATAAAAGTTGGGTGTTGGCTGGGGGTAAACTGAACTTCTAACCGAGAAATATCATCAGCAATAGCGCATTTTTCTATAGCAAGCAAGTGTGTGAACCAATTTTTCAAAGCATTTCAGATTATTTTTTTAGAGGCGATTTAAAACTGGCAGTTTTAGGCCATTTGAGCGCAAAAACCGGTTGTGACGCTTTAACCAGACCGGCATCGCAACTTTTGAAAATGGATTCGAAATCAGCGGAAAATTCTGTGCAAGATGTCTTATCCTACGCACCAAAATGCCACGGCCACCAAAAACTATATAGGGATCCCTCCATCCTGCCGCGGGGGACTGGAACCCCAACTCACCTCGATCTTGTCGTTCATATTGACGATGAAGATCGGCACGATGGGCGCTCTTCCTCAGGATCGACGAAGAGAACGGCGCCAAGATTTTTCTAAAATTAAATTATGCTTACAGGGCCGCAGAAGTGCCAAAATATAGGCCGTTTGGGAGGGGCCTTATATTTCTCTTTACGTCCGCTGCGGTCACCGGCTGGACTTTTCTTGGACTTATATT